CCATCTGAAATGTTCCAGCCCTGCTGACGCTGCAGAATACCCAAGGAGGAATTAGCTACAACTGACACAGCCCCCTCACTGGCAGTTTGGAAGCAGCCATCCATCAGAGTGGGCTGAAATAGAACTAAGGATTAATAAAAACACATGACAGACAACTCCAAATATCAACGAATAATTTTAGGATGAATTAGCAAAGGACATGTCTGTTCACCTGGACCTATGATTTTCAGGATTAGATCAAGAAAAGTATGTCACAGTTTGGAGTCTGAATTTTTTGCTGCAGCAGTATAGTAATGGAAAGGAAAACGGATGGGAGGAAGCCTGAAGTTGGTGTTCATCTACCTTGTGAGTACAGCTGGCTGCCAAATAAGTGAATGGAAACGGGGAGTGGACTCTAATCCTGGCTCATCCACTTTGTGAATGACTGGCAACAAAATACTGTTTTGCAATATGAAACAAGAAAATTAAATTTTCAGCAATGCAAGCTTATTGGCAAACTGCCTCCCCTTTTGCAGGAATTTTAAGGGAATGATGGGAGAGCATGGGGAAGGCTCTCTTAGTCAGCATTCATGTGACTACTGCAAAAGAATAACCTGTGGCTTCATTTTCATTTGGTAGTGTAAGATCACCCAAGCCCTCAGCCTCACCCACAAGCCAATTTGTTGCAACAATCACCATGTGTGAGGAAAGGTTTTGAGATGAGTGGGTGGAAATCAAGGTAGCAGGAACATTTGTGCTTTTGTTGTTCTGTCAGATACCACCCACAACCCACTGTTGGAGCACAAACCTTCACCACCAACGCAATCCACCGTGCCAGCTTTTGAAAATATTCTGCAAATTGACCTTAGGCAGTTTGAAAAAACAGTAGTTTTTGTGTATAAGTTAAAGTATGTTTCTGGGTTTTGTTAACAGAATACATAATATTAAAAATTGGATTGAAATTAAGGCAATCGTGTGTCTCTACCTTTTTGTAGACATCTTTGAGAGGAATGTTTTGTCCTGAACACCATTCATGGTAGCAATTGTGTGTGTATTCATACAGCTGTTAGAAACTAACCCAGAAAATATCAAAGCACCAGAAATAGTGATGGAAGATGCCAATGAGTTAATAGTCAGGGACACAGCTCCTGGACAAGCGTGACCACAAGTAAATCTTAGATTTGTTGTTTTATTCTATACCTTCTGCGATGGTGATTTGCCCTGCACAGCAGAACAGATCTTGGCCTTTCTTTTTCACTTACTAGAGGATTTGCAGAGCAGGAAAAGAAGATTACAATTCCTCTCAGCAGAAAGTAATCCTTTTAAGTTAGGTATGTCAGCATTCATTGAGAAGTGTGGGAAAGTGCATACTACTTAAAATGCTTGACAGGTCTCAGAGAAGCGTGGTGGCAGGAAGATGGGAGTAAAGCCCCCAGTTGTGATTACAATGGCCCCCAAATTAGAGACTGTTAGAGGGAGCAGTGAAAACAGAGTTCAGAAGCAAAGACTGATTTTGATGTTCATCCAGCTTGGTATATTCACAGCAGTAAAGTCCAAAATTATAAACTAGAGTGGTATTGTTAATTTGAAACTCATGGGAAACAAATTTTCTGTTTACATGGCCACTTTAGAGAGGTGGTGCTGCTGCCCTGTAATTTTACAGTGCATCACGTTGTTACTGAGTATTCCATAAATTCATGGATCTGCTATACCTGATATGTATTTTGAGTAGCTCATAATTCCTTCAGTACACATTTGTTCTGTTTGTAAATTTTAGTCTGATTATAATAGTCATACTGAGCCCAAGACAGAGCTTATTGTTATGAGTTTCATTGTATACCTTTGAGTCCAAAGAGTTGGACTGAGACATTATCAGCAATGCTCTCACGAGATGATAAGCAAGGTCAGAAACTATTCTGGATCCAGCCATTGCAAAATAATTCAGGCTGAAGTTGAAGAGTACCAGGAATTCAGCTAAATCTCATCTGAGCAGATGATGAGTTCCTACTGACAAAGCAATAACACAAAAACAGTTGTGTGTTAGAAAAAAGAACTTTGAAATAATATGACAAGAGGTAAAGAAAATGGACAGGAATTCAGTGAAAATGGAAAATCCACACTAAGAAGTATTTGAGCTACAGCCAGAGAAAAATTAAACTAACAAAATTTTTAAAAACCCCCACACTTCTAAAAAGGCAACATAAAGAACAATAACTGACAGGAAGGGCTTGAAATGCTGAGAAGGAGAATGATTATGAAAGTACAAAATGAAGTGGAAAGTTATGAAGGGGAAAAAATGAAGGGGAAAAAAAAGAGAAACAAAGCAACAAATTGCATAAAATAGCTGAAGATACCAGACAGTTCATAATGTGTTTGTAACAGCATAATAGCTGCACATCTCTATTGTAAGAGAATTCAATTTTATTCACTCTAATTTTGCACAGGACAGTCAACACTGCCATTTCAAATCTGTTGTTCACAATCCAAGATAGCATCTTGACAGCTTTTAGCAAACGAAGTGCTTCATAACATAGACTGTTGGGGACAAGGGAAAGAACCAAGCCCAGGATCACATAATATACAAGCTTTTCAGGAATGTATTGTACAAGAGATCTTTATTCTTTTGTATTTTAAGAAGTCTGCATTTCAATTTTGCTGATATTATACATAATTCCCACATTTTGTCTACTGAATTCCCTCCTCCCCACCTCATGCCCAAAGCTTCTTATTTCTGCACCCTGAGTGACAACTGCAGGTGCCTCAATAGTGGATATTGCAATGCAAACCACTGTTTAAATGGCCTGCTTTGGCTAAATGCTTCTTTGTTTGCATGTAACGACTTCCCTCACATTCTCTCTTAACAAATACCTTCCATATGCTTGGAATATAAAGGCTTGGAAGTACTTAAATGGGTAGTCTGCCATGTGTTACACTAAGGATCAGATGCAATGGTACATGGAGAGAACTCATCTCATCTGTCCTTCAGTTTCCAAAAAACTGTTACTTTCCTCTAACTTTTATTTTAAGTCAATATTTACAGTGGAGTGTTTAAAATACCTAGTCAGACCTGGGAACTCATCAGAGTAGTCAGACTGCACTGCACATTTTGAAGCGCTCCCCTAAATGAAAAAATACATAATGCTTTTAAGTCTCTGTCACCCAAAAGGTACTGAAATTGTCAAAACAATCTAAATTTATTTTTAGTTTGGCAACTCACAATTGTGTTTGAAGGTAAGCTGCAGAGTAACACATTTGTTTCCTCTGATTTGCTTTTATCAATTCAAAAACTATAATGGTGGTTATTATGGGCTTATTTCAGCCAGATTACATGGGCAAGTGAATTTCTTGCTGTTCTACACCTAGCAGCTGTCCAGAAGACACCAGACAGAAACCTGGGTGTGAAACATACTCTGAGATCTTATACTGAGATCCCCCAGTTCAGACATAGTCATCACTGTCCTGTTTTCTCAAATCCCATAAGGAGGGTGGCAAACACACTTTTCTTTTAGAGTAGTGCAAACACTGAGGTACTTCACTGCTGACCCAAGACAGCTCTTTCCCTCTAAGTCACTTAGAGAGTTCATCCTTTTGAGATGGATGATGAACAGCTGGCAATAGCCCCATCAGAGAACATGTGAGGGTGCCATGCTGGCAAGACAGAGAAAGCTTCTCAGCAAGCCCTTCAAGGGAGAAATACTCAGATGCAAGGACGGGAAAAGGGAAGAAAAATTTATAAAATGTGCTCTAATTAGGGCAGTTAACATAATTGCAACCGTATTGGAAAGTGTACCCTTCTATTATCAAAGCTGCACCAGGAAAACATCATCTCAGCAGTTTTCTGCTGAACCTGCTTCACATTACATTGAGCAAGACAATATTCACAGTGCCAGTGGGACAGACTTCTACCTCACCCAGTCAGACAACTTTGGGAGCAGCTCTCTGCTCAAAGGGTAGCTTTTCTCACTGAATTACTGGGCAATCATAACACAAAGTACCTAATCCAGTAACAATCCCCTTGATTAAAAAGGGACACATAAGACGTTGTTAAGTTTTTAATAAAAATTAACCTCTTAATTGAGGAATACAGGTTATTCAGAGGAAACTATAAAAAATATTTTGCCTGGTTTTGTGTTCATCTTTCTTTCTACTAGCTACTACTAGTAGCTACTTTCCTTCTACTAGCTTTCTACTAGCACAGTAGAAAATATGATGAAATGGGAATTTGTGTGGAGGAAAAGTTGCTTTGAAATTTGATATATTCCCTTTTTTTCCAATTACATTTCTCTGATTAGATTTACTTTCCAGCATTTGTGATATTTTGAAATTTGAACTATTGACTTGCTGTTTCAAGGAACCAGTTCTGCTTCCCATCCCTTTCACAGTGAAGTTAAAGGCTCTTGACTTGGGAAGCTGGGGAATGCATTTAAAGTCTGCCTGTACTTGGCACTGGTGAGGTCACACCTCTAGTCCTGTGTTCAGTTTTGGGCTCCTCGCTACAAGAAAGACATTGAGGGGCTGGAGAGTGTCCAGAGAAGGGTAGTTGAGTTGGTGAAGGCTCTGGTGAAGGACCTGGAGCACAAGTCTGATGAGGAGTGGCTGAGGGAGCTGGTGTTGCTATCCCAGAGGAACGATAGCTCAGGGGACACCTTATTATTCTCTACAGCTGCCTGAAAGGAAGGTGTAAGGAGATAGGGGTTAGTCTCTTCTCGCAAGGAACAAGTGATACGACAAGAGGAAATGGCCTGAGATTCTGCCAGGGAAGGTTTCCTCACTTAAAAGTGTGGTCAGGCATTGGAACAGGGTACCCAGAGAAGTGGTGGAATCACCATTCCTCAAACTGCTTAGAAGTCCTACGGATTGGCACTTGGGGACGTGGCTTAGTGGTGAGTGTGCAGTGCTGAACTAATGACCGGACTTAACGATTTTGATTCGAAAGTGGCATCATTCTCCCTCCGCCCTCTCCCCCCGCC